ATTTTTTTTCTTTTGAAATCGTATTTATTAAAATGTTTGTTCAAGTTTGAAAAGAAATAAACATGCTAACCAATTGTATGGAGCAGCCATTTTTTAGACTTTTTTTTTAAAGAAATATCATTTCTAATTGTATTTCAATATTATAAAATAAAATTAAACGTGAAATTAAAGTATAAAATATCGTAAATTGTATGGCGTAACCATTTTTTAGATTATTTTTCCAGTAGCCAACATTAAAAAAATTCACCAAGGTACATTATTGGCTGACTAATCATTGTTTAATCCTTTTTTTTAAATATTATTTTTTTCAATAACTTGATAAATCACAAGAGAAGAAAAATAGTTCGTATGTCCTCGTAAAGTTGGTAACATTTTTGTTATATATCTAAACAAAAAATATACCCCACTAGAGAAAGGGGGTTGGGGTTTGTTGAGGTCAATATGGTCAATTCATGTTTCCACCAACAATTTTGGCCTATATAGTGGGGAAAATATGGTTATTTTAAAATGTATATATAAGGTCAAAAGTTGATGTACATAAATTAAAAATGGATATTGTAGCTATACCAAACACCTTACCAACACAAAAATTTTACTTATTCCTAAAGTTTTGAGCAATGCAATATTCCATTTCTTTGACTTCATACACATAAGGTTTCACCGATAATAAAAAGTTTCGAGTTTAAGTAAATTTAAATAAGTCGAATTTTATATTGAATGAGAGAAAAAGAGTTTCAATTTATTAAGTGGTTATATTCGTCTAAGGGAATTAGAGAAATGAGATGAAAAAAATTATCCTTTTCACAATCCCACTTAATTTTATTTTTTTTTGATCGAAACTTACCAACTCAGCTGATTTGAATTCATTATGTAAGTAGTCTGCAATATGAGGTGTTAATGTTTACTACTAAGAACAATTTCATTATTAAAATTCAAACTCCAACTTTTAAGAGCTTACTTACAACTTTAGTCATGGTGAGTAAATTATTATTTTAATTCTCATATTAAAAATTAAATGTAAAAATATCTTATATCTAGTCTTACTCTTATAGACGTGCAGACCAAGTCGAGACCTTATTTGTCAATTATTGTGTGCATAATAAACTGTTAAGTCCACTATATAAGCAAAATTAGTGGACCATTTTCTTAATTTTTTATTTGAAAATCAAACTTTAAGATGTTCTAATTTAGATTTTCATGAAGATTAATAATATAATTTTTAATAAGGTGATATGTATACCAACTTTATTTTAATATTTTATATTGGCAGAAAAATGATTTAAAACACAAAATCTGAATTTCGTAATACACAAATTATTATTAATAAAATTGGTCAATCTACATATACCTTTCAAATTGGAACATTTTGTAATGATAGCGTCACCATATCCTTGTAAGAGTAGGTAAGATTTGAAAGGTTTGCCTATGGTGTTTGTTGATGTCAATTTGGTCAACCTATGTGGTTAGATAAAATTTTGAGTTCAAATTTTATTGACGATGAAAAGTTTTTAATAGCAAATATTTTTTTTTTGGATAAAATATCGAAATAATCAACCAAATAGATTTTATATATAGTATGATTAACCCTAAACAACAAATTATTCTTCAAATATTTGACATTACTTCTTGGTCCCCCAATGAATAGCAATTAATTAGGTGTATGAAAATGTTGTTTCCCCCCTCCTGCCCCCCCCCCCCTTTTTTTTTGTATATATGTCAAAATCACTCACCATTCAATATGTTATGTACTTTTTTTTTTTAAAAAAAATTGAGTTCATCTTTGGTTTAATTTAAGCTCTATTGATTATTGTTGATTTTTATTTCATTATTTTGTTACTACTGTTTAATTCTTCAAAGATATGAATATGATTTGAATATTTTAGAATAGATATTCGTTAATAATAAAGTTATATTTTTAAAATTAAGCAGAGCAAGAGGATTATATTTTCGAAAGACATTAAAAAATTAGGATCGATAAGTAAATTATAAAGCTAGAATAGAAGAAATTGATAAATCCAACAATTTCTTTATTATTATATATATATATATATATATATATATATAT